ATGGTTACTTGTTGATGAAGGGGTTCCTAGTTGCTGCTTCAGAGGAGATGAACATGTCCTATTGGTTTCCTTTGATGTTTTGTTTGCTGACATGACTGCTAAACTTTGAAATGCAGTAGTACTGTAATTTATTGTTCCAATGCATATTGCAGTCATGGAACTGAGTTTTAGTCGAAATCCACATCTCGGAATTTTTTGATGCAGAGTCTTGCTTCACAAAAGGCATGTTTTCTCTACCATCGACTGTCACTTTCAGTTGCTTTCCTCAGTTCCCAATGAGCTGGGGAGCTGACTTCTGATAACAGTTGTGTCATACGTGGGAGGGGGCACAGTCCCCAGCTATCCTGCTCCCTCTCAGTGCCAAGGACAGGACCCCAGGTGTAGCCTCAAGGACCGTACCTGGATCAGCCCCACTGCCCATCACAGAGGCCCTCTGTTCGCAAAGGGATGCTGGTGGAAAAGGACAAGGATGTGGCAGGCACAGTGGCTGCTCGCCTTCCAAGCTGGTCAGGAGAGAAAATCAAACAGTTCATTGCTACATCTGCAGTATGGGCTGCTCCCATAGCATGGTCTGGCCCTCGGTAAGGAGGTGTGTGCTGGGCCAAAGGAACCAGGCATGACATGGCTCTGAGCCACAATTCAGTTTTCCCTTCATCTCTGTCCTTTCCTCTGAGAAGTGCCCCTATTACATGAATGCCAGCAGAAGTGGCCAATACAAGGTCTGGACAAACACCACGAGCCCACAAGCCAAGTTCTGCCTGACCTGTTTTCCACAAGACCTGTTTTCTTGGGCCTGCACAGTTATTTTGTTTGTTTTGGGTTTTTTTTCATTTGAATTTCAATGTCTTTTAAAAGGGCACAAACTCTCCAGGTCACTGCTAATCCCTAAATACGCCCTCCACATACAGGCTACTTGGTTCATTCTGAGTCACTCACATCCCTGCGGGCTTTTGACCTTTTCCACCTCTGGTGAGCAGAAAATTCTCCTTAGTTAACAGAGGAGTCAGCTTTAGATGCTGAAGTCTCAGGGGTCCTGGAGAGAAGGAGAGAAGGTGGATCAAAAAGTAAAGCAATAGCTTGGTCTGTGAGTTATTTTAAAAATCCGAGTAAGCCACTTCTGGTCCTCTTGGTTCCATGTTTTCTGTTGTGCGCCTGAACTTGGGGGCCCTCTGAAAACTGCCTGCAGGGCAGTTAACCACTGGGTCCTAAATCCCATGAGGTTCTGCTTTGAGTTTATGTGAACATGGATGTGTCTTTTCTCAGCTTGTTTTCATCAAAGCAGTGCTTACGGTGGGCTGACCTGGGCTCTGGGAAGAGAAGGCATCATTCTTTCAGTGGATGCATTTCATCTCACTCCACCTCTCAAGTTCCAAGTGCCCCAAAGATTCATTCATCTTCCTCCTTCTCCTCACACTTTTCCTTCCGCCTTTTTCTTCTTCCATGTCCATATCCAAACAATGTATAAGTGGAGAGGCTCTTGGTTGGGTAGGAGGCGGAAACATTGTCAATCTTTATTTTTTCACCAAAAACTTCATATTAGATCCAAGTTTGCTAAAGTTCTCCTAGCCCCTGGTCATTCCTTGAGGTAAAATTAAAGTCACTAAATAAGCACAGTACTTTTTTTTTTTTTTCATTTTTGGAAGGAATCAAATTTGCTCAATGGTCAGTCATTTAAAACTATACTGGAACTAGCAAATGTGCAATGAAACAGAAAGCAAAATTCACTTTTTTCAAAGACAAAACACAGGATTTTAAAGGCATTTCATTCTTGATGTAGCCTTCTTTCAAATGTTTCCCTGGATCCCAAGGGAGTGCTTTAAATCTCCTTTGCTTTTAGGAGAATCTGGGTGAAAGTTTGAGAAGCAGTGTGAGATTCTGGTAAATTCTTTTCTAAGACACAGTCTGCTTTTGTATCTGAGAGGAGTATTTCCCTATTTGTGGGGTTCATGGAATGAGAAATTATGTAGCCCTTGGCTGGACACTTAACTCTGTTCCTGGGCTTGCCAAAAAGGCGGAGGTTGAGTCACTGGACTGGACTTCACATTCCCGCTCGGAGACCACCGGGATTGTAAAACTGCTGTGCTGAGTCCATTTCTTGTAAATGGATCCACATAGTCACGAATAAATAGTTTAGTTCTGTTACTGTTGGTTTTGGAGGCAGCCTCCCCCCTCTCTGTTATCCTGCTTATGCAGAAGTGTGAAGCACTTGCATTTTCTCTGCTCTGCATTTGTTGGAAAGTAAACAGGCAGCAATAAAGAAACTTTATTATGCATGTTTTCTGCCTTGGGTGGCACCTGGAATTTGCTGAATCTGCTGCACGCAACTTAAATTTTAAAAGGCTCCTGAGCCTCACCTTTTTCACGCCGCCGTGCAAGTCAAATGGAAAACCAAATAATTCGAATAAGCAAGCTGCGTGGGTCCTTTCTCCTACTCTCAACTGACTCCAGACCCTGCTGTGGAATTCCAGCACCTCTTCCCCCCACCCCAATCCAGCTGTTAAGCTTCCATGAACCAGATTTAAACAACCATCTCCTCTCCTCTCCCCTCTCAGACCATCAGCAACTGCTTTAGCATGTTACCTAGGACATCAGGGTACAAAACATGTTCAGTGCAGAAACAAAAGCAAACCAAACGGCTCATAACCCTCGACTTTCCAGAACATCTCATTTACTCTGTGTTGGTCTAATTTGAACTTGAAAAGTGTCTTTAAAGCAATGAAGCTGATTTTCACAAGCATTATATGGCCTCTCTCGAATGCCAACCCAAAACACTTTGCCCAGACTGCTTCCCACTAACTTGTACCCAGAGGGGATGGGGTGACGCAGGATTGAAGAACAAATGTAAATTCCAAACATATTGCTCTGTCTCTCAGTGACTCACTCCTGAAGGGGACCCTGTCTGAGATCCTACAGAATCTTGTTAAATCTTTCCAGGCAAGATGCTTAATTATTATTAGGCTTAGGGAAGAAAATCAATATTCTATCTTTCCAGTGATACTGCGTTTTGGTAATAATCTCAACTTTTGGAGCCGGCAGTATGGTGGTGAATGAAGCTTTGGCATTGGACTCAGACAGGCCAAGGTTTAAATCCCAGAGCCACCGTTTATTGGCTGTGCACCGTTGGATATGTGGCATACCCTCCTGGGACTCATTTTTTTTTCCATCTGCAAAATGAGAAATGATGACAAGGATTAAACGAGACAGCAGTTGACGGGAGCAAGCCCAGTGCTAGGTACACAGTCAATGTAAGTTTTCCTTCTTTTTAAAAATCAGATCACAGACTATGAACATAAAGTAACTCCTCACCAAGAGTTGACTCTGGCTGAGGGTGTGGTTTTCTGCTAAGGGAGCTCTTGGTGGCCCTTAGTTGTGACTGCTGATTGCACACATCTGGAAACTATGACAACCGTTTTGCTTTGAGCTCAGCTTGGCCCAAATGTAGCTCTATATAAAGCAGCCTCTATCCTTCACTTTTTCCTAACATATCAGAGCTTGGCTTGAATTTGGGCAGAGCAGTGGGTGTCAAAAGAAATGCACAATGTCTGGGAGGAATTCAGATTCAACTAACAATCACCCAGCCCTATGTGGCCCCTGTAGCAGCTCCTTGAGTAACTGTCCCTGGCACAGTTCATTGAACATACACAGTAGTGCTATTAGGAAATTGTATCTTGCCTACTTTGCAGATGTATTGACTGAGTCTGGGAGATTAGGTGACTTTCTCAAGGTCACAGAAATAATAAGGCTTGGGAGAAGAGCCCAGGCTTTTTGACCTGATTAAGAAAGCAAGAAGATTGGCAGGGTTGGATGACGGGCATTGTAGTGTCTACTTACCAAAGCCTACTTTGAGTTGACACCATCTATGCCAAGTGCTGGGAAGGGTGAGTGTTGGGAGGGATGTCCCAGGTAAGTTTTCCTGGATCTTTAGAAACCCTGTGCCCAGGCCCTCTGTCCACTGCGTCACATGTCGACTGGGGCAGGTAGTGAGATCTGGCTAATTAAATATGTCATGTAAACAATACCTGATCACTAATTTTAAATCAATTTGTAAAACACTCCTAGCATAATCTAATCATTTTGGGGTTTTGTTTATTTTGACAATTCAGAAGTATTTTAAGCCCAGCATTAATTGTCCTTCATTCAACCAATATTTATTAATCTACTTAATATATGTCAAGCATGTTCCAGATGCTTAGGATACAAAAATTTTTCAATTTAAACTCTCCAAAGTGCCCTCTCTTGTAACTGACTCAGTAGTGATAAATTGAGATTTTTTTTTTGAAAGAATGCTTAAAAATGTCAGCTTTCTGGGTGTTGTTTTGTTTTAATGGTTTAAAAAAATACAGAGCAATTCTAAACACAATTCTTTTATGGGCTTACTTGATGAAGTTGTTCTTTCTCTTCACCTGAAACGTTTCCATTTGCCTCTGGAGCCTTTGTTCTCAGGAGGCAATTTTGAGTTCCAGCCTGCCCTACCTTGCCTCATCCAAGCAGGACAGTCAGAGTGGGGGTTTCTGCACAGCCCCCACTGCATGATGAACGGTGAGAGCAGGATGCTGGTAGAGTTTTAATAAAATGCCAGACTATCACAATGCAGTATTTCAGTCCCCCTCTCTCCAAGTCAAAGTCTACTGAATGACATGCTGACCATTACTCACGTGCAATTATCCTGAGCATGTAAAATCAACACACTGAAAATAAATCTTACATTTGGATATTGCGTTTCACATTTCAGCGTATGCCAAATATGCTAGTGAAGTTTTTATTGTTGTGGAGTATAATGTCAGGAGACAAACTCCTACAAACTTTATACATAACTTTTTCCATTTTATCTGTTTTTCATTTATGTCACATTGTGTGACTTTTAAGTCTCTCCTCCTTTTCCCCCACACTTTATGACAACGGATCAAACTCAGTCTTGATTATCCTAAATGTACCCTTAGGTAACCTCAGACCAAGAGGGGTTTTTTGTTTTAATTAGTATGTAAAAGGAGAGGGGAAGAACCCCCAAATTACCCTATAAACCGGGTCCCATGGATTCTGACAAATGGCTTGGAAGGAACACGTGCCAGGACGTTACAGAAGACAATTGTGGCTACAGGCAGTTCTCGCCAGCTCGTGTGTCAGCCCATGGAAACTGGGTAATAGCCGAGGGAACTGTGGATTTTAACTGCAGGAGATCTCGGAGATGCCGCGGGCTTAGGGAGCGCACGAGGGCGGCGGCTGGGACTGCTGACCCGAGGCCCCGCGCGCGCGCGCGCGTTCCAGGAGGGGGCGCCCCAGCGCGAGCGCGGTGACAGTGAGCGTTAAGGTAACAACTGCCACCGCCGGAGGATGGCTTCCAGCTTTAAGAAGCCAAACGTGGCCTCCACCAGCCACCACCAGAAAAGAAAGGTGGGGCCTAAGCCTGAACTCACCGAAGATCAGAAGCAAGAAGTTCGCGAAGCCTTTGACCTCTTCGATGCCGACGGAAGCGGCACCATCGACGTGAGGGAGCTGAAGGTGGCCATGAGAGCGCTGGGCTTCGAACCCAAGAAGGAGGAGATGAAGAGGATGATCTCCGAGGTAGACAAGGAGGGCACAGGGAAGATCAGCTTCAATGACTTCTTGGCCGTGATGACTCAGAAGATGGCCGAGAAAGACACCAAAGAAGAAATCCTGAAGGCTTTCAGGCTCTTTGATGATGATGAAACCGGGAAGATCTCTTTTAAAAACCTCAAGCGTGTGGCCAACGAGTTGGGGGAAAACCTCACTGATGAGGAGCTGCAGGAAATGATTGACGAAGCCGATCGGGATGGAGACGGCGAAGTGAACGAGGAAGAGTTTCTTCGGATCATGAAAAAGACCAGCCTCTATTAAAATCAGTTTCTCCTGTAAGCAAGCGCATGTAGAGAAGTCGAGTGACTTGCTGGGTTCCCTGCTTCTGTTTTGTGAAACCTTGAGTTAAAGGACAACACTGTCTCTCCTCTTACCCCCAATTTGTCCAGATAGTTCTGTTTCTAAATCGCTTGCTCAATTATAGAGTTTTAAAGATGCTTTTGACGTGAATTTTGGTTTTTAATTCCCAAGAGCAGACCTGGAGTAGTTTAGGTTGAATCAAGCATCCTGAAACTTCGGTCCACCTACCATTTGCCCTGCCTTGATGGCCAGCCATTAAACTGAAGGCAAGTTGGCTTCTTGGGACAAACAGCCATGTGGGCCCCTTGTCACTTCTTGGGTCGTCTTAAATTATCTTGCCTCATATATGACTCCTTAAATTCAAGTCATTGTTCTCACTTGATAAGGTGGAATTGCCGGCGGGTCATCCTAGCCATTGCTTTTCACTCGACTGAATAGTGGTTTGAAGGAAAACAGCAAAGCCATTTATTGAGCTCAGGAAAGATACTGTTCTAAGGTATAGGCTGGCCTTTGGCTGGTGTTAAATGGTGCAACTTAGGCTATTCTCTGCCTTTATCACATGCAGATGACTCTTCATTTGTGTGCACATTATCTCCTGTGGGTTATCTGGGGGCCAGAGTGTATTCTTGAGTTACAGAATAAAAACAGAAGTTGATACTGGCCAAAGCAAAGTCTAATTTGCTTAAGAGATTAAGCCAGCTAATGATTTTGAGTAAATATTTACACATGTAAGATCTTAGTTTAGGAAACTGTAAAAAAGTATCTGTAATACATTTTAAACTACTTATCTGTCCTTGGAAAGATCAACTAGTGTTTCAGTTGTTAGACTAACTACACTAAACCTTGGTCACTTTATTACTGCTTTATTACAAGCCACTGTCTGCCTTCTAATTCTGAGAACATCTGGGTTTCTTATATTTAATTATCCCCCTTCTGGTATATAGTTGGTGCCAGAGTGTTAGGGGTATAAGTTGTTCTGTGTTTTACAATCCCAAGAAGCTGTTCACTGCAGCTGTATGTGTGCTGATACTACTTGTTCTCTGTTATAAATTAAGCCTTTCTTGTTTTGAGGTAAGATACCTACCCTTTTGAACATCTACAAACATGAAGTTAGGGGAAATTTCAGTAATATAATTGTGGGAAGATAATATAATCTATCTGCTGAGATGGAAGTCTAGACAAATGTTTTGATAACTGGAAACAAAACTATTATACAGGCAAGATGTTTTGGTCGCAACTAAACCTAAATTAAATCTTCATACAAAGACCCATTAAAGTAAATGTTGAAATTCTGGGAAAATCTTCACTTGCTTTGCCAGCAATTTTACCCTTCAGAGGGTTGTGAATCTAATCAGGGGAACGAGTACCCTGGGTTTAATTCTCATTAACCGGGACTGATTTGTCAAGGCAGCAGCACTAGCTGAAGTGATGAGCACGTGGGCATTCACTGGAAGAAAGGATTTTGCTGAGGTGGCTGGCACGGTGCAGGGGAACTCGCCCAGGCTGCAAATGCTAGCAGATCAGGTTCAAGGTCTTCGTGTGGATTCAGGTGCAGTTGTAAGGGGTACAGGTGCAAGTTGGGCCAGAATCAGTGTGAAGGGCCTGAGCGGAGGGCGAGGGGAGGGGTGTGGCTTTCTTGGAAACAAGAGTCCCTGGCATCCTGTTGGCCAGAGTCTTGTCCCAGGGATCGACATATGGATCAAGGTAGAAAAACCAGAAACAGAGTTGGCAGAAACTGGGAGAAAGGGTCAGAGCCTCAGCCAGCTGGACTGGGTTCACTCTTGGCTCCTAGCCCAGCAGAGGATAGAAGCATAAACCGGGAACCGGGGCTGAGGCCCAGTGATCAGGCTGCCCAGACAGCATGGGGTCAATGGTGGAGGCTGTAGCCCAGTACTTAAAGGGTTGCCTTAAGGACACCGTCCATCCCACACACATCCCACTCCAGAATATTTGAGTCCCATTCACTGCTAAGGAGGAACCTCTCAATGCACTTAGTCTTGCTTCTCTATTGGCTTGTGTTCTGGGGGATGGACAGTAAAGCGGGGGCAGGGGGACAACCAGAGCAGGCCAAGGTTGACATGGGAATTTTAAGAGAAGTTAATTGTATCACAGTCTTTACACAAGGAGAACACAAAAACTTCAATGAAAATTTATGAACACCTTTTTGCAGATGAGTGAACACAGCTATAAAAGTTAAGAAGAACTGAAAAAGGAATTTACTGGGCTATTACAAATGGTCCCAGTAAAGAAGCAGAACCAAAGAAAGCTGCGTGACTGCGCAGGGAGCTCACTGATAAGCCCTCACTTCCCAATGATACAGGTAGCAGAGGAAAAGCAGAACAGCAGGGCCAAAGGTGAAAACATGAGTCTCAAGGTTGTGTTGATACCAACAAAGCCAATGCCTCAGTGAGCAGAGGACTGTGAAAGGGACTTTTTTTCCTCATAGCATCTTAGTCGTGTTTAAAATAAGATTGAGGATGGAGTAAGTCCAACTCTTTAAATTGCTGCATGTTGGTTTCCATGGAAAGCAGACTCTGAGACTGAGTTTTGTGTGCAGGAAGTTGATTTGAGTGTGTTTTCTGGATCACACGGCTGAGGGGGAAAGAAACCAGGACTGGACAGAGGGAGAAACGGGGCTACCATGTGGTCCCAGCAGAGGCCTCAGCTGATCTCACGGGGGGAGCAAGGCTGACCCTGCAGACCACCCAAATTGGGACAAGGAGGCTGGGCCTTTAAAATCTGTCATTGATTGACAGTCACTGGACATGAGCTGGCCCTAGGAAGAGGGTATGACCTGGAGCAAGGTGGCTGTCCTCAGCCAAGGGCAGTTGATCCCTGGGAGGGAAACTCCATCACAAACTATTAGCTGTCAGGACTTCCGGCAGCTGGGGGGCTGACTTCAGTTCTGAAGTTCCGGCCCGGCTGAGACCTGGGCGATGCCCCACACCTTACACCGTTTAGGTGGACTGGCTTTGTATAAGTTCTGGGAGAAGGTTTTTCAGAATTCTGATGGATCTCTCTCCTTGAGGGAAATGTATAAAAGGAGAACTAGAGGGACAAACCACAGCCCCATCACAGCAGCTGGTCTCAAGGCCACAGGTCCTACTCATCACCTCCCCACCACCATGGTGATTCCCCTCAGGGCGTCTGCTAACGTCTGTGCCTCGCCCGGTTGGCAGACCCAGACCTGCATCCCTGAGGAGTCTGAGCCCCCAGTCACCATGCCTTTCCCAGGCTCTGGCTGCTGCCCTCCTCCCTCTGCCCTCCAAACCAAGTGGAGGAGCATCTGGAGACATTCAAGTGTATTCCCTGGGCACCAAAGAACCCTGCCCATGTCCCACCAGCAGCTCTGCCTCCTCCTGATGACCAGGAGCAGTTCTCATAGTGGTGATTCCTTTCCCTGGCTGCTGCTCTCTCAGCGTGAGGAAACCACTTTAACTGGGTGGCACATATAGTTTGAAATTTAATGGGACTCACAGTGCCCACTGAGGGCATCATTCCCGCTCTGGGAGCCAAGGTCTCTCAATGCACAGAGCTCAGTGCTATGGGGCTGGGAAGCACAAATGAAAGAGTGAATGACTGGGGGTTGTGGTGAGAACTACTTCCATCCTTGGTTTGCTGGACCCATGTGTTCTGCCTAAGAGGTACCACCCCACGTAATGGTGATTGATTTAGAGTGTGTACTGCATCCTGGAGGAAAGGCATCCTCACTGGTCATCATGTCCACCATCATGTCCATCATGTCTGACCACTGTCGGAACCCACTTATATTCCAATTCCAGGCCACTTTTCTTTCCACACAAAATGGATTCTGTTCTATCAGAAATTCTGTCCATTGGGAGGGTTTCCTGTCTCACTGCTGTCTTTCTGGTCCACCCTTGAACGTAGTGCAGTGTACCAAGCTGACTTACCCCCAAACCAAGTTCAGTGTTTTTACTCCTCCAATAATTAATCATAAGAGATTCCTAAAAGGACCTACTGAAGAGCACAGGGAACTATATTTAATATCTTATAATAACCTATAATGGAAAAGAATCTGAAAAGAAGATATATATATTCTTTTGATATATATGTATAGAAAAAGAATACATGTATATCTGAAGCACTTTGCTGTACACCTGAAACTAACACAATATTGTAAATCAACTATACTTCCATTAAGAAAAATTTCTTTTAAACCATGGTGTTCAGCTAATGTATATATTTGAAAGTATAAAGCAGAATCATAAAAATAATCAAAAAGGTGATTTAAACCTAGGGTCTGCAAATGCACCCTATTTAATCATCTGTGGTAACATAGTATGATATTTACTTTTCCAAGCTAACTATATGTGAAATGGAATGTACTTAGATAGAGACTCTTTAGACTGGCATATTCGATTTTGATTTTAACCACCCAACAAAATTACTTTTCCTATAGAAGAACATTTTATTACTACAGTTGGTGACGATACTTACAGAAAATATCTTCCTTGTGATGGTTGTTGCCTGATATGTTGACCATCCGAGGTGATGATCTAAAGTGATGTGTGTGATTTTAACAATAGCCAACACATAAATAGCACTTACTCTTTACCACTCGCTACTCTAGGAGCATATATATATTATATATATATTATTATCTCCATTTTACAAAAGAAGAAACTGAGGCATGGAGAGATTAAATAATCTGTGCAAGGTTACATAGTAAGTGGCAAAGGGACGATTTGAACCCAGTCTGACCCTAAGTCTAGACTCAAAATTTATACCCTGTCCCCTACCCTAACTCATTAATTTAGTTTAATGAGCTTGTCAGGACCTGTCCACTCCAAAGTACTTGACCCCTTCAAAAGTCATGCTTAACCAATGGTGCTGCTGGCCTCAGAATATCTTTGGAACTCCTCTTTTGGAGACAATCTAAAAAGCTCTGGCATATTCTTCTGAACATTCTTAGGAGACAAATCTAATTCCAGTGAGACTGGGCTTAAGTTTTGGAAATAGCCTCAAGTTATTTGTACTCAAATCTGATGAGCAAAGTGGCTGGAAAAGCTGGATATTATCATTTGAGGTTTAAAACTGTAAACGCCAC